CAATTTTGTCAGTAACGGAGGAACGCCATCAAATGTAGCGAAGTAAAAGTAAAGTTTTTTCACTAAAAATGTACTTGAGTAAAAGTAAAAGTACCTATCTTTAAATATACTCTAAAAGTACTAGTTACCCCAAAAATTTACTCAAGTAAATGTAACGAAGTAAATGTAATTCGTTACTACCCACCTCTGATTATTACACATTATGTTTGGATAGAGTTATGAAAGACTTATTTAGTATAGGCACTTTTATCCAAAGTGAAGTACACGAGAGAAAGCAGGGTCAGCCAGTCCCTTAAGCAATGGGGCTTAAGGACTCAATGGCAAAATCACAGGATTTGAACCAGCAAAATTCCAATCAAAGCTAAAGAGACCAAACCCACAAACGTAACAGTCTGCGTGTTATAAAGTTGCATTCACTTATTCATAGACTACATGAATTGTTCATCATTAATGAACCATGAACCATTACATTGTTCATCATTAATGAACCATGATGCATCTTTTATCTCAGGTAGTGACTGTGTTCATGATTTGTTAAGTTGAACAGTGTATGAGTAAAACTGATAATTAGTTGAAATTAAAAATTGTCAATTCATTTATATTAAAAACATTTTAGTAGTACAGGGTATCCGGCTCCCAGTTAGTTCGCTTGCAAAAAAGTACTGAAACATTAAAACTAGTTAAAAATTACTGTAATGTCAAAGAAATGCTAATATATATAATACATATATGTATTTTATAAATATGAGTTGTAAGGAAAATGCATGTGCACTGAGTTTCTAATGATGACGTGTCAAATATTTAATTAAGAAAGCCATTCCACTGAACTGTGCTCGGACTGAGACCGAATGAATTAAAAATACCACTAGGGGGACCCCAATCTGTATAATGGGGGCGATGGTGACATCTGGTGACCAAAAAATGTTATAGCATGTATGTAAGTAATGGCATTTTAAAATGAAACCAAGACCCAGATCGTTTATAAATGCGCAAATTAATAATAAGCAATGAAAACACGGGTTTAAATCAACCCGTATTGGCGCGAAACGTTATTTTTCAATTAGATTGTGTGAGTGTTAAAATAATTCAAGGATTCAATAGTTTTGTTTGAGTTTGGCTATACACAGTCAAATACAGCAGCGGGCGCAGAACACAGCTTTGAGGGGCACGAATTTGAGGGTGATGGTAAGTGATGTAAGGGATCCCATGCACCGTCACCATCTGGGATCTGCCTGTGAGGGTAACACTTTACTTGATGGGGCACAAATAAAGTATATATTAGTAACTATGATGCTATTATTTATGTATTAACCACAAGTTAAGTCTTAGTTACATATTAATCTCATGTTAACTCATAATTAATGAATGTTTTATCTCGAGCAGTTACTGTATCTTAATACTTTAAACCTTTGCCAACTACTGAAGGAACAAGTCATAACACAAATACTTATCTTGTGTTTGTTCATCATTAATGAACCATGATGCATCTTTTATCTCAGGTAGTGACTGTGTTCATGATTTGTTCAGTTGAACAGTGCATGAGTAAAACTGATAATTAGTTGAAGTATGAGGTATTTTGTACTGTTTAAATATAAAATAATACATATGCATTTTATAAATGAGTTGTATAGGGGAATTGAATTGAGGAATTGAAACAGTATTACGCAATGAATTCCCATTCAGAGTAGATCACATGTAGTCTATGATAAGGACTCCTGGTCAAAGTTCATTTAAACAGTATCACAAAGGTTTTGAAACACTTTTTCGAGTTTGCCATTATTATTACTACGCAGACGGTGGACTCTGTTTTTCAAGAAAGTACGGGAAAAACCATAACGGTAAGTAATTAGCATTGGCTTCCAGTGTTGTACTAGTCCAGTCCGGTCTTGATCTCGAGACCCGCATTTCTACTCGGTTTTGAATTAGTCTCGAGCTACGTACAGCGTTAGTGGTTCGGACGGAAGACCGAGTTTTCTCATTTCGCATATTGTTCGATTCACGTTAATAAAATATAATTAATAAAAGATTAAATGCATCTATTATTCACCTTCATTGTAGTATCTGTAGGCATATACTCATTTGTTAATTTGTTTGTTAAAAATAGTCACCGAGTGCAGCGTTTGGAAACCCCTTCAGAACAGGCAAGATGCCGTTATTCGATTTGGTTTCATTAATTATAAAAGTGCTTTTCTCCCATTCAAGCACATTCTCCTATGGAGCAGGGTTTAAACTGCTCAGTCCAATGGATGTTAGATCCAGTATAGGAGTGGGGTCATCATTTGAGTCTTACGTGGATAGTGCTCAGCAGATTTAGACCCGACTGCTGTTTTTATGCCGTACATATGAATTCTTTGATTTGTTTGCCTTATCAGTACATCTTTAGCTTTACTTGTATCAGGTATCGCTTATAGAAATAAACTAAACAGCAGGCATACTCAGACATACCACAGATCATTTCTCTTTGTGGGGGCACGATGGTGCACTGGTTAGCACTGTTGCCTTTGGGACCAGGCTTCAAATCTCCGCTATGGTGTGTGCAGTTGCATGTTCTTCCCGTGTCGTCATGGGGTTCTCTCCCCACACTCCAGAAATGTGCTAAGGTGAATTGGAGTTATTGGATTAGATGTTTTTAATTTCAAATAAATAGTCGATCAGTATAACCAATAAAAATTAGGACTATAATACAAAAAAAAAAACAATTTAGTTTTCTCCGACTTCCACCTGCAGATTTGTTTTACGAATGTGCCTTTTTTAACATCTGAGGCCACCATTTTTTTTTTATCCTGTCCTATTAATGTTTACTTCACAGGGCTCCGACATGAAGATCCCCGTGCTTGATTTCGAAGTGTATCGTCTTGGTGAAAATGTGACGGATGAGACGCTGATGGAGCTGAGCCGGAACCTGCGGACAGCTTTCACTGAAATTGGGTTTGTGTACCTGAGGAACACTGGCATAGGCCAAGAAGAGGCACGTGATCGCTAAGTATGACGTCATTCACTCACACTTTTATTCATGGAGTTCTAGGTAAATTTTTTTCTAATTGGTTGGTTCGACTTTTAAGAAATTTGAGTTCTAATGAGTTCGAGAACTGAGGTACCTATGGAAGCCCGTTTCCGCCACCGGGGAAAAAAATAATATAATATACTTAGTTATCTCGTTATTTCGAGATATTATCTCGAAATTTCGACTTCTTATCTCGAAATAACGAGGTAATGTCTATGGATACACTGAAGGTTTAATGAGTCTGATCTTTGGAGAATCCTACATGAATACACCGTGCACATTATGTAGGCATACTGATGTGTGTTTATATATATGTATATATATATATGTATGTATATATATATATATATATATATACATATACACATACATATATATATATATATATGTGTGTGTGTGTGTGTGTGTGTGTGTGTGTGTGTGTAAATACGCTGCCCGGCCAAAAAAAAGTCGCAATTTGAATTTAAATCAGCAAATACTTAAATTTAAATAGCAAATACTACAGCCAATGACTGGATCATTATTACAGCTTTGTAATGTTATACAGGAACAAAGTGAAGTTAGCTGAGTACTTTAATCTACTGGATGACCAGGTTACCGCTTCATCCATCATCCATGGATTTTTTCTTTCCTAATGGCATGGACATATCTCAGGATGATGATGCCTAGGTTCATCTTGTTTGAACTGTGAAAGAATGGTTCAGGAGCTTGAGGAATCATTTTCACACGTGATTTGGCCACCACAGAGTCTTGACCTTTTAGCCTATTGAAAATCTGTGGGATGTGCTGAAGAAGACTTTACAGAGTGGTGCGACTCACCTATCATCAGTACAAGATCTTGGTGAGAAATGAATGGAAATCTGGATGAAAAAAAATGTTGAGATGCATAAGCTTGTGGAAACAGTGCCATGAGGAATGTCTGCCGCCATGAAGCTAACAGTGGTCCAACGAAAAATTGAAATGGTGACTTTTTTTGGGCAGGCAGTGTATATGTATATATAGAATATATAGTATTTATTAATTTAGTTTTTATTTACTCTCGCTTATTTATTTTACTCAGATTTATTCCTTCCTTCTATAATTTCATTGACCTGTACCTTGGATGCTTCTCTCTTCAGTTTTATTTTAATCTTGTGACTTTGAGCTGCATTCCATGTATAAAAAGTGTTATATAAATAAAGATAATTATTTTTATTATATAGTTTTAAAAAAGGTTACAGAAAATGTTTTTGTTTTTTAGTTCTGAAACAATATTTATACTTTTTGTTTAGTTGTAAGTCTAGTTTTTATTTTCGTGGCCTTATTTCAGTTTATGAAAATGTTTTCTTTTAGTTTTTGTTACCAATAATCTACAATCACTTGACAACCCTTAATTTGGCTCTATAAAGTCGCAGTTTGTGCTCAAATTATTTATCACCATCTAGGTCGATGCAGTTATGGAAATATCAAAAAAATTCTTTCTCCTCCCGGCTGAAGATAAAATCCCTCTCAGCAGGACAAGCAACACTTGCAACTACGGTTGGGTGGCCCCTGAAACTGAGAAGTATGTATTTGTATTTTTGCTTTCAGGTTATTTAGTATTTACCTCAAAGTATGTATTTTGAATTGCGTCCCCATTTTTTTCAATTAACAGGTTAAATCCTTATAGACCAGGAGACTTAAAGGAGGCTTTCAACATCACCTCTCTGCACCCTGATGCTGTAAATGCACCAGTTTTGAACGGACAAACTTTTTTTTTTCTAAGACTGCAGATATCTATCCATCTATCTTAAATGCTCATCAGGGACAATGGTCACAGTGAGTCTGCTAGTCTGTGTGCAAGGCAGAGGACACACGCAATCAAACACGATGGGCAATTCATGATTAGGAGAATTGGTGTTTCTGTATTTTTTGACTGGGAGGAAATCCATGAACTATCTAGAACATACAGGCCCCATACAGACAAAGCTGGAGGCGTGTGGCTATAGAGCTGCCTGCTGTGTTCTCATGAGCTGGTGCCTTGGAGCATCATTAGCCAACAGCTCGTCCCACCATGGTGTTCTAAGACGTGCTGTTGGGGATCCTTCCTTCCTGCTGCCATCAGGCACTGCAGTGCCTCCTGCCNCATTAGCCAACAGCTCGTCCCACCATGGTGTTCTAAGACGTGCTGTTGGGGATCCTTCCTTCCTGCTGCCATCAGGCACTGCAGTGCCTCCTGCCAACGGGCCCCCGCCCACCTCCAGCCATAACATGTCAGGAACACGTCACATCTTTGACATAGTAGCAGTCCGGTGCTGTTGGTCTTTAACTGCTCAGACACCATCTTACTTTGTATTTACTCCTTTATTTTCTGTTTTCAGGATATTCTGTTTGCTCACTGTGTAGTTTTTACATTTGTTTGCATGTTACCTGCCTGCACTGTGTGTACTGTCCTTGCACAGGATAAATACACCTATAATTATTAACATCTTGTATATTAGTCTTTGCCACTGCTGTGCCCTGATAGTTAAATATTGCTTTATGTTTGTGTGTTATAGTCAGTGTGTGAAATACCCATCAATATTCTGGGGGGTCCCCATCTCCCTATTGTTGCACAATACCAATCTTGAGACCCCCTTAAAATTTTGCTTTTGAGGCTTTCAGGGGGTCTCACGGGTTAATCGGGGGTGTCAGACCCATCCCCCCCCCCATATTTCAGACACTGGTTATATTATAATTCTGTCAATTTCCAGGCCTGGCCTGCAGAGGACGTGGTACCAGGTTTCCGCCAGACTATTGAGTCATTCTTCATGCGGTGTAAAGATCTGTCCCTCCGAGTGCTCAGAGTCATGGCCTTGAGTCTGGACATTGACGTGGACATCTTTGTCAACTCACACAAGGGCATAGGGAGTGAGTACAGGCTGCAGTCGCTTATCTTACTAGAGAAATACATGGGAGAACTGTCTTATGCACAGTAGAGCAGCCGTACATCATCTGTACACTAATCTGGATCTTAACAAGTAGATCACTGAATGTAAGGTAAATGTTTATGTAATTTATTTGATACCGCAGAAAAAATATTGAACTCTTGTTGCTCTCTGTTTATTTTTCTCACTGACATTCTTTTCTTCCATTTTCTGTTCTTGTTTCCTGTATTTATCTGCATGAACTTTATTCGGACTTTATTTGTTGCTTATAATGCTGATTATATATTATACAGAATCTGAACTCATGTTGTGACTAGCCGGGTCTCTGATTTATCAAGAATCAGTTTGAGGGTCTTTTTTTAATGTGTCAGAGGTTGGCCTGCTGGTTTTTATG